GATTAAAAATGTAAACATTAGACCTAAAACCATAAGAACCCTAGAAGAAAACCTAGGCAATACCATTCAGGACACAGACATGGGCAAGGACTTCATGACTAAAACACCAAAAGCAATGGCAACAAAAGCCAAAATAGACAAATGGGATCTAATTAAACTTAAGCGCTTCTGCATGGCAAAAGAAACTACCATCATAGTGAACAGGCAACCTACAGAATGGGAGAACATTTTTGCAATCTACCCATCTGACAGAGGGCTAATATCTAGAATCTACAAAGAACGTAAACAAATTTACAAGAAAAAAAACAAACAACCCCATCAAAAAGTGGGCAAAGGATACGAACAGACACTTCTCAGAAGATGACATTTGTGCAGCCAACAGGCACATGAAAAAATGCTCATCATCACTGATCATCAGAGAAGTGCAAATCAAAACCACAATGAGATACCATCTCACACCAGTTAGAATGGCAATCATTAAAAAGTCAGGAAACAACATGCTGGAGAGGATGTGGAGAAATAAGAACGCTTTTACACTGTTGGTGGGAGTGTAAATTAGTTCAACCATTGTGGAACATGGTGTGGCAATTCCTCAAGGATTTAGAGCTAGAAATATCACTTGACCCAGCAATCCCATTACTGGGTATATACCCAAAGGATTATAAATCATGCTACTATAAAGACACATGCACACGTATGTTTATTGCAGCACCATTCACAATAGCAAAGACTTGGAACCAATCCGAATGACCATCAATGATAGACTGGATTAAGAAAATGTGGTACATATACACCACAGAATACCATGCAGCCATAAAAAAGGATGAGTTCATGTCCTTTGCAGGGACGTGGATGAAGTTGGAAACTATCATTCTCAGGAAGTTATCACAAAGACAGAAAACCAAACACTGCATGTTCTCACTCATAGGTGGGAACTGAACAATGAGAACACTTGGACACAGGGCAGGGAACATCACACACTGGGACCTGTCGGGGGGTGGGGGCTGGGGGAGAGATAGCATTAGTATAAATACTTAATGCAAATGACGAGTTGATGGTTGCAGCAAACCAACATGGCACATGTATACCTGTGCAACAAACCTGCGCATTCTGCACATGTACCCTAGAACTTAAAGTATAATAATATAATAAAATGAAACAAAAACAATTTATTTCTACTAAAAAAAAAAAAAAAAAACACTGACAAAGGTAGCTACACTCAACAACAGATATTCAATGTAGACAAAGGAGCCTTCCATTAGAAGGTGTCATCTAGGACTTTCATAGATAAAGAGGAGAAGTCAATATCTGGCTTCAAAGGACAGGTTGACTCTGCTGTTAGGGGCTAATGCAGTTGGTGACTTGATATCAATGCTCGTTTACCATTCTGAAAATCCCAGGGACCTTGAAAATTATGTTAAATCTACTCTGCTCATGCTCTATAAGTAAAACAACAAAGCATGGATAGCAGCACGTCTGTTTACAGCATGGTATACTGAGTATTTTAAGCCCAGTGTCGAGCCTACTGCTCAGAAAAAAAGATTCCTTTCAAAATATTACTGTTCATTTAAAATTTGTTTCCATGCCTGCTAACACAACATCCATTCTGAAGCCCATGGATCAAAGAGTAATTCTGACTTTCAAGTCTTATTATTTAAGAAATACATTTTGTAAGGCTATAGCTGCCATAGTGATTCCTCTGATGGATCTAGGCATTGCCATTAAGAACATTTGTAACTTGTGAGAGGAAGTCAAAATATCAACATTAACAGGAGTTTGGAAGATGTTGATTCCAACCCTCATGAATTACTTTGAGAGGCTCAAGACTTCAGCGGAGCAAGTAACTGCAGATGTGGTGGAAATAGCAAGAGAACTAGAAGTGATATGTAAAGATGTGACTGAATTGCTGTAATCGTATGATAGAACTGAAGAGATGAGAAACTGATTACTACAAGTAGCAAGAAAACTGTTTCCCAAAATGAAATCTACTTCTGATGAAGATGCTGTGAACATTGTTTTTGTAGAAATAACAATGTTTTTAGAATATTACATGAAATTGTTATATAGCAGTGGCAGGATGTGAGAGGGTTGACCCAATTTTGAAAAATGTTCTACTGTGAGTAAAATGCTATCAAACAGCATCATGTGCTACAGAGAAATCTTTCTTGAAAGGAAGAGTCGAAAGAAGCAGCAAACTTCATTACTGTCTTAAGAAATTGCCACAGCCACCCCAGCCTTCAGCACCTAGCATCCTTATGTCAGCAGCCATCAATATCAAGGCAAGACCCTCACCAGCAAAAAGATTCTGATTCACAGAAGGCTCAGATGATTGTTAGCATTTTTAGCAAAAAAGCATTTTTAAATTAGGGTATGCATATTTTTTAGACATAATGAGATTGCACATTTTATGGACTTTAATACAATGTAAGCATAAATTTTATACATACTGGAAAACCAAAAAATTCATGTGACTTGTTTTATTGTAATATTAGCTTTATTGTAGTGGTCTGGAACCAAACTTCAGTATCTCCAAGGTATGCCTGTATATAGATAGATATTGGTATACATATATGTGAATGGTATACACACTTTGTGTGTGTGTATGTCTGTATATACACACTTTGTGTGTGTGTGTACATGTCTGTATATACACACTTTGTGTGTGTGTGTACATGTCTGTATATACACACTTATATATGATTTATCGATCTAGTTTTATAACATCTCTTTTCAAAATCCCCTTAACTTGCCACCGACTACAGGATACAATAATGCAAAGTATTCAGCACTCTCAGATTTCAGTCCCTAACTACAGCCCATTTGTCCTGTGCTATTATCCACTGCCAGGATGCATCAGGTCCTCTGCACTCTGGCACATACTGTTCATTCTAGGTGTAAGAACCTTCTCCCCACAGCCACCACTTTTCTGTCCAAATTAAGTCTACTGCCTCACCCTTCATCCTTGCATCTATCCCACAACTCTCCATCTCCCACCACCTTCACAAAGAATTTCTACAACCACCATATTGTGTAAGGTAAGGGACTCAGTGTCTCCAAATACTATACAGTGTGACAGGGAAAATCTGAAAATGTTAGTGCAGCCATATTGTCATCCCACTAAGGAACTATTCTTGAAAGTTTGAGAAACTTTCTGGTCACCAATATGCACAGTTGCTACTTGAGTTCTCTAAAGTTAACAATCACAAATGCACTCAAATAATACACATGTATTAATACATATAAACAAAAACTACAATTTCATAGAACTCTTTACTATCTTCAACCACCAACACCTAGCCCTGTTCCTGATGTGGACTATAGAATAATTATGAGGCATGCCTCTATTGAGACATGAGGCCAAACCAGGAGCAGGCAGTGGACAGATGCTTTGGGCTCCAGAGGTTAGTCCCTGAAACCCTTTTCTCCTCATTGGCTAGTGTCCTTGAGTATAGAAAGCAGTCCAATTGACCTTGCGGAAAACCACCAATTTTTATCACAAAACACAATATTCATCTGCCCAAATAAAACTCTGAAAAAGAATGTGACATGAGAAGCGCTGAAGACACTAGTTCAAAGTCATGTCCCAGACATTCTTGAGAAATTTATGTTCAAATAAATAAAAATGTTATTTTTTAGTAATACCACTCCCTTGACAAAATTTCTGATTTGAAGTTAATTCCTAGTGATAAAAGGACAGTACAGAAACTTGCCGCAAATGAATTACCACAGGAATAACCAGCTATCCTGGGAAGTGCCTGCTGCATTTGGCACCTTGTCTCTGCTCTCTTTAGGTTTTCTTACATGTCAACTTAAACAACACCTAATACATTAGTACTAGCTATTACATAGTGCTGATGCTAATACATAGTGCTTCGTGTCAGGCATTCTTCAAAGCACTTTGCATATATCCCATTTACCACAATTCTAGAGGTAGATACTTTTATTCCCATTTTACAGATGAAAACTGAGACATAGAACAGTTGTGGCCTAAGATGTGATGATTTATTTCCTCCTTAGACAAAATGGATTGCTCCCCATTACCTACAGTATAGAGCCCAAATTCACAGCCCTCGAATTTCTACTCAACCTCCCATTCTGACTTTTTCTCAATATCCCCTCCCAAAACTCCCCATAACCCTGAAGTGCCATCAAATATTGTCCCATCATCGTGCCCATGCTAAGGACAGATGTGGTACAGTAGTAATCTTATGTTGCTGCAAACGTGTTTTTAGCCTGATTAATTTAAACTTGAGACAGAATTTACAAGTCAGATTTCATATTAAAAATCAGATATACAGTTACTGGGACTTCTTTTAGAATCCTATCTGGAATTCTAAGGGTCTGAAGCTAGGCACAAACTGTGAATAGAAACTATCAGTTGGAGCACTGTAGCAGGTGTCTCCATTGGACATCTCTATTTGTTCACAGTTGCCATCAGTCACACAAAGCATGTCAGTTTCACTTGCTTCCGTTACTGACCTGGCCTCTAAAGGCCTTCAACACATTGCCCTAAAACCATCTTTTGCCTACTTAAGTCTCCCTATCCTCCAAGACTAAGCTCAAATGTCACTGCCTCTCATAAGTATTTCCTAATTATTCCAGCTGAAATTTATCTCCAGCTTCTGAATTCCCCCTAGCATTCTGCTTATTATGACACATCACACTCTGCTTTGTAACTAGTTGTGTATATGCTTCCCTAACAACAAGGTAGAAACTGAGTCAAGGTTAGGTAACCAATTCTGTGATATTGGGCAACAAAACTGAACACAGCACCTCGTGTTCTAGGATTTGAGCCCTAGATAAATAAAACAGCATTAGCACATTGAAAAGGGTAGAGAGAAGTGACTTTACACACACACACACACACACACACGCACACACTCTTTACTCTTCATGCCCCTCTGCCTACTGTTTATGTAAAAATCATGAGACAACTTGATGAATGTGTTATTTTTTTAATAGAAACCACATCACTTCATATGTTACAGCATGTAATTCAAGAGGGTCCCAGAAAGTATTTTCATCCACAAAATAACGGAAAGGATAAGAACCCGCACCACCCAAGCCTTTGGTTCATCTTTTTTGTTTTGATCTCTGTTCTCTTACCACAATGACATGCTGCTTCCAGAATGGAACTCTGTCTTTAAGTTCTATACTAGTTAGGAGTCTCGTCTATCAGCTTGCCTTAATAACGTAATGGATGTCCTAATTTAACTGAGGAACCTGGACAAGTCTTCCTTGATTTCAGCTTCATCCCAAGGCCCATGAATGTTTTCTTTAAAAAGCTGCAAGCGAATGAGGTAGAATGGACAGAGACATGAGATAGACATTAGCAGAAGGGCAAAGAGTATGGCTCCCACAGCACTGATGGACAGTAGGCCTCCTAAGGCTGAAAATGCAAAGAGCAGTGTGACCCCCACATAGCTCCGGGGAGTACATGCCTTTAGTTTCTTCTGTAACATGGGCCATAGGGCAAAAATCTGAATGGCAAACGTCACCATGATGAAGGCATGCAGGGACCGGGGAAGACGTGAAGCCAAGCATACAGAAGCAAAGATGGCCATGTTCAAGGATAGCGTGCTGGACACAATGGCAGCATTGGCACCATAGTCAAAAAAGATGAGGTGGCCTAACAGCATGAAGACTGACATGGCATAGATGGTGTCAGTGCTGACAGACTCTGTAAGGGTTTTCAGCACTGGTGAAAACCCATAAGTGAAAGTAATGAAGACTAGGGCACTCTTCAGGTCAGCCCATCGGGTCTGCCCACTCTTCTTCCGCCCTTCACCTCCATCAATGAGATCAAACAAAACATACCCAATCAGTGAAGAAGCCAGGCCAGTCCCAAAAAGCCAATGGGGGGCCAGAAGACCCTCATCCATATACCACCAGATAACCACAAAAACACAAACACTGCACAGCTGCTGGATCACTACACTGGACTCAAATACCACAGCCCAATATTGGTATTTCCGAGCATGGATGTTTTTCCGGAGCTCTTCCAGGAATCGCCGGTCCACATAGTTATCAGGAAAGGGCTGTCGCTCATACAAGACCTTCTGCCACTTGACCTCCTTGGTGCTAGTTACAGGTTGGGCACACATTATCCTTTCATTCAAACTCAGGCCAGTTTAATCATCGCCCTCACAGAAGTCCAGGTGGTTCTTGTTCTTTATGAAGTTTTGAAATGAGACCTCCCTGGAAATTCCATGCTGTGGTTGATGTTCTATCAACCTTTCCTTGTTTTCAAAGGCAGCAACCCAGGCTAGGCCTACAACAGATGAATTTGTCTCTGAGGCAGGACAACACAGCCAAGTTCCTAGAAAAAGAGAGACTGTGAACCTACGAAAGTTGTGAAAGGTCAAGAGTAGTACTGAGTTAAAGTCAAATCAACTCAGTTTACTAAAAGTCTGAGGAAAATGTATGTGGTAGTCACCTTATTAATTTGGGACATTAAAACTGCATTTCAGACTTGAAAATTATAGTTCCTTGAATAATAATAGACATCTGTTAGCTATCATTTATTGAGTGCCTACTATGTGCTAAATGCCTTATGTATCTTCTTTCACTTAATCCTCACAACCTTGCAAGTTAGTATTAGTCCTGCTTTGGTAAAAAAGCTGAGATTCAAGATGCTTAAGTAACTTTGCCCTAAGGTAACAGAGCAGAGCCAGGATTCAAACCAAAGTCTTATCCCAAAGCCTGTGTCTGACATTGTATCTCCCTCTAAATCAGTTCTTAACTCAGTGGTTCACATACCCCTTCGGTGTATCACATTGCATGCTTATATCCGAATTTGTGTGAATTTATACGGATAATATCCATAGCTTTTATTGGTTCTCAAAGGCATGTTATATTTTTTAAATTACCAATCCAAAGACAATAGTAAGCTGCACCATACAGAAAGGTATGAGCTCTACAGTTTGTTTAGCCAAAATCAAAGACTCAAAGAAACTAGACTCTTCTTCCATTAGCTGAGCTTAGCATCCTTTAAAGAGCTATCAGTCTACTCAAAACAAGGAAACTCTTGTGAGGATCGAGAAAGGTAATCATCCCTTTTTCACAATGAGAAAACTAAGAGTCAGAAACACCACAGGCATCTGGCAAATTTGAGGAAAAAAAATTTCATATTGCCCGACTTTATTTCTTCCACGAAGACCACGACAAGTGTTGTTTGGCAGGCCGGACACCGTTACCCCGCTCTCTGCAGCAGGGATCCCAGCCCGGGAATCTTAAGGCCGCCGCCGAGGCTGGAGGGTTCGCGACGCCCAAAAGGGCAGCGCCCGCCCGCAGAGTGGAGCTGGGAGGGGACAGGGTAGGGTAGGGTAGGGTAGGGTGACCCCAGGGGTGCGCCTTCACTCTCCGGGCCTCCCACTCCAGCCGCCACCCCTCACTCAGCCTTGAGCCTGCGAGAGACAGCAGAGGAGAAGGAGCCCCGGAACCACTGCCGGTTACACGGAACCCACCTGCCCGAGAGTTCCTAGGGATGCGCAGCTGGAGGACGGCGGCACCCAGCCTTTTTCCCGCTCCGGGGCGCAGGGGCTGCGACTGTGGCGGAGCACTTCCGGGTCTGCCGCAATCTCCTCAACGAGAGCACCCTTCCCCAGCCGGAACCATCGCGACGTGGCTGCTGCCCCCTCCTGGCTGCTCAGAGGACCTCCGGGCTCCTCTCCTGGAGACTGGCCCAAACCCGAATGCTCTGAGCCTAGGAAGGCAAATCTCCAGCAATCCCCTATTGAAAGATGGGATATGCCATCTGAAGGGCTGGGTAAGGCAGGAGAGGACAAGGAAAGAGGCTGGGCCAGTGGGTGAGAGATAATGGCCGCTTTTGTTGCGCTCCTTTTATTAAGTCAGGCCCTCAGCTGGGACTTCCCATGCATCCATGCGTTCATTCCACAGATACTGACTGAATGCCTGCAGGTAACAAGCCCTCCTTGGGGGTGCTCATGATACAGCCGTGAATGAAACAGACAAAAATTGCTGCTCTCATGAAACTCTCTTTTTTGGTACATTGACCTTTACATTGATTATATCATCTTCCCCCTCAAAGAGGACAAATCTAAGGCTCAGATAAGTTGAATTTGTCCAAGGACAGGCACCTGGGAAGTAGATGAACAGAGATCAATATCCAGTTGTCCATAGATTCAAAGCTTGGTTCTTTCCTCTTTAACTCCTAAAAGAGGAAAGGAGAAGATTGCTAATTAAACTGAGTTCATAGAAATATTAAAGGATGTATAAACGAAGGAAATAATAAACAAAGGGATGTAGTAAAACACGGGATACAGTGGATACAAAAGTCAGAAAACATGACCCATTTACTAGCTCAGTGACTCAAGGCAAATCACACTACCTGACCTTGGATTTCTTCATTAGTAAAATGGAGATGACATTATTTGCACTTGGCTACTGTATAGGATGGTCAAAGAGTCAAATATAAAATATAAAAATGTTTTGTAAAGTGTTCACTGTATGGCTGCTATTAGCTGACTTTGGCCATCATAATGATAGCAATGTTTAAGTGTGATACATTCTGTAAAATGTTCTCTATTTCCCTCTAGGCTTCTGTTGCAAAATTTGACAAGATTCCTTGGCTTAGTGAGGCCAGCCTCGTAAACAAGCCACTAGTGCTCAGCCTCCCCAGAAGGTAACCTCTCAGCCACTGAGGGCAAAAGATTTATGAAACATCTCACAGAAGATGATTTCTTCTTAAGGGATGATAATTATACAATTATCAGAGGGCGCATTTGATCCATTGAGAAACTCAAGTCAAGTGCTTTAAAAATAGAAATATTCCGGGTTTCTCAGACAAAAATGATCACTGAGTATAGACCTGGCTAGAGGAGATGAGATCTCAAATTATTTCCCTCTACCACTCAACAGTATAAGATAATTTTGTCACTAGACACTGTCTCTCAAAACACTTCCATCCTCTTTCTCACTCCACCTTTTCTCCACTGCTATAGTCTGAAATTTTCACATTTTTACCATCAAAATCTAGAACAGTAAGTTCCCATCTTTATAGAATAGTAACTCTGTATGTAACTTTGAGGTACCCTCCTACAATCTTGTTAGTCCTATTCCTTCCAGACAGACTACTATGTGACACATACATCTATTTTTCAAAATTGCAGGAATTACATGTCTAGGGAGCATTTCAGCTGTCTCTTGAAATTATTGGGTTACCATGTTCCTTCTCCATTTTTGATGAAATGGTTCCTAAGTGTAGTGATAAACCCCACTCTGGAAAGGGGACATGGACAGAAGGGAAGGTGTGAAGCAGTGTTGGGGTGAATGAAAGAAACCAGAAGGAGGGCAAAGAAAAGGCAGGCATAAAGGCCATTCCAAAGGTACATGACAGACAAAAAAGGATCCACTCCTTGGCATGTGAAACAGCTTGTTAGAAAAGCCAGACTCCCCGAAAAGACTTTCTCCTCCTGTTGATAACTACCATGTACCCTCCTGTCCATGGATAAATGACTTCGTGAGCGAATTCCCATCACTATCTCCACATCCTCACTTTAGTAACACGTACCCTTCCTTTGTCTACTCTACTTAAAAAAAAAATCACATTCTCAGTAAATAGGTACAGTTTTATGTATTTTCAGAACAAAATTCACAAGTGTTTTCAAGTGCTCATTATTCAGGTGTGTTGCTTTTACATAATTTTGAATATGTCTAAAGCAGATTATCAGAGGTTCAATAAACTCAAAGGCCTATTTAAGAAACAAAAGCACTAAGTGATAGAGGGCTTATTAAGAGTTGTTAATGCTACATGGATCAGCATGAGTAAGGATAGTCTAGCATATTTTAATTGAGGGTGGGACACAAACTCACAGGCCCATGACAGTGAGATGAGGGGCATAATGAGTACAGCTGGCCAAACAGGACTGCAGTGAATGGAAATCACCTCCCCACTTCAGCCCACCCGCACCCCAGCAGTGTTACCTGCAGGCATGTGAGTCCAGAGGCCAGATCCACTGGGTCTTCTAATAGTACTAGAAATCTGGATGTTTTATGTGAAATTGCTAGTGTTTGATCTAATAGGGTAATATCCCACCATCCCATACTACCCCCATGTCCATTAGACCTGCCCCAGCAGCCAAGAGCAAAGTATCCTTGTGCATGGCTCTCTTGCCCCCAGCTCCCTTGGTCTCTAAGTATATAAGCCTTTGGCAGAGGGTGAAGATCAGGGAGAAGGGTAGGCCCAGAATACAACTGGCCTTCCACAGCACCTGTTCAATTTCACAGCCAGGTCCTGGAGGGTCAGAGCAGACAGTCTGTTGACAGCCAACTGGAAAGGGGGTGGGTAGTTTTTCCTCCAGCCAGCCAAACCTAGGCTAGGCACAAGAAGAAATTACCTTAGGCAGGCAGTGAAGCTCTACTCATCGCTATTCTGGGAGGATTGGGGTAGCAATCTCAATTCTTGTTTAGAAAAATGTAATACACCTACCTTACAACAAAGGTGACCGAACAGCACCTCTGAGGTGCCCTGAACTCTCAGGAGGACAAGACAGGAATGTAAAGTCTTTTGAAAGGATGGTTTAAGTATCAACAGATCTTAAGGATTAAAAGCTCCTCATGTGGGACAAAGCTCTGGGTTCCAAGCTGTTTATTTTTGGCAAAGCCCCTTACTGAGACTTTGGGAGAAAGTTCTCAATGTGCCTTAAGCGTTACATACCCTTGAGCAAAGAGTTCTAATGCAGAACAGTCTGAAAAAGATAAAGGAACATTTAGCCAAATATGCTCAGAGTAATTCCAGCTGTGCGCAATGGAAACACACCTGCGCGGTTGGAGGAGGTGCGGCTGGGCTGTAATAAGAAGTGCCTGTACTGACCCACTTCCTTCAAGGACTCTCTCAGGTTGGCCTGACAATTTCAAAGCCACCCTCATCGTCAGTCTCCAAAGCCCTTCAAGTCACACTAAGGTCCTGTTTGTATAAGATTATAGTGTGCTGAAGGAGTTCTAAGCTGGCCTCCTGGTCTCTCCTCATCAGCATTTGGGTGACAAGTCCAAGACAGTCTATTCCCATATCAAAGACAAAGACCCTGAGGGCACTGATGTCAGACCCACCGCCTCTGGTCTCACAGGGTCCAGGGAAGTGTGGGGAGAAATGAAACAAGAAATGCCTCATGAACATCAAACCCCTTCCACATGCCTTTGTTTTAAATGAACAATGGACAATGAAATCTTTCCTCATTAAAGAGGAGATGTGTTCCCGGCAAAACTGCCAGCATTCTGAGTTTCTACTTCTTGGATGCCAGGGGCATGAGTGGTGCCACACACACAAACAGTTTATGATTATCAGGCCCCTGCAGGTCTTGGCCCCGTACCCTGTAATGAAATGAACCACTGTACCAAGTGAGACAGAGCACAGGCAGGTCACCCTGTAAAAAGAACTGGTGTTCTTGCAACATCACTGCTTCAACTGATAACTAGAAAGAAAAAATGTTGCAAAGGAAAAGAATGGGTGGAGGGAGAAGACGTTCTGTGGGAGGAAACAGGTGGATTGTTTCAGGGTGCAAGGACACAAACTCCAAGAAGTCAGCCCAGGTATGAAAGGGGACAGGCACAGGTGAGACATCGAAAACTTGAGTGCAGACCCTTTCAAAGAGAAAACCTGGGATTCATTTTGCTCATTACACGTCTACTGTTGTGAACAATCTTTATCCTGCCTTGTTTGTACACTGACAATCCAAAATTGGTTAGTGCAAAACAAAAGGGACAGAAAAGCCAAAGTGACATAGGAGGGCAAATCCATCTTTTGGGAGCTCCTCAATGGCCTGAGTCCTCCAGAACTGGAGTGGAAGGCAGCTCCCTGTGGTGTCCCTTGTATTCTCTCAGAAACAACCAAGGGCCTGGCTCTTCAAATGGGGGACTGTGGTTCTAACTTTCTCTTGTTTTAATTACTTAGATATCCTCCTTCCTCTGCGACTTTTCTGACTTCGTCCAAGAGGAATATGAATTTGCCAATTTTGTTTCAAGTTCCAGATGTTTTATCTAAGGTATTCAAAAATTTTTATTGAAAACAACAGCAGTTCTAGAATGACATAGAATATGAATACATGTCTCATCTCCTTAGCACAGCCCTGCGCTTGGTGCACCATCAGTGTTCAATAAATATTTGTTAAATGAAGTGAATGGCCCCACCCCCCTCACTATGTCTCAAGTGCCTAAGGGCCCCAGTTCACTAGAACTAAGAATACAGGCATAAGGTTAGAATCAACAGAACAGGAAACTAAAATGAGTATGGAGGAATCTGCTTCAAGACTTCCAGGGAATGCCTATCAGCTTGTGACTGGAACCAATCAAAAGTCTCTAATGCCTCCCCCAAAGCAATGCTTATGTCTCCCACCTGCAACTCCTGACACCTGTGGAATTTTACATTAAAAACTCCTCATTTCCCCTCCACCGTGACCGGCTGCCAAGTGACCCTCAATGTCACTGTGGAGCAAGCACACAGGCTACAGGGCTCGGGTAGTCAGCACCTTCCTGAGGTGGAGAAAGAAAGAAAACATATGGTGAGATAAGCAGTTTTTTTCACCTGAAAAATTGCACATTCCTCACAGGGCTGTCATAGGCAG